GCGAGGCTGCTGTAGCAGGAAGTTTCAAGACTAGTCAACAAATTGCTGGGTTGTGTCCCTCCAAGGGTGTATTTTGTCCTTGCTCTTTAATTCAGTCGCGGGTTGCTGGGCTCGGTGCGCCAAATACGGACTCGCTCCTCCAAATATGGACTCGCTCCTCCAAATACGGACTCGCTTCTTTGGGCAGGGCTGCAGCAGGGGTGGGCGGTCGCAAAGGGCACCGCCAGAGCCCCATCGTGGTGTAGCAACAGCACAGAAAAACTGCATTTTCGACCTCTTATTTCTGTAGGCAGGTTTAATTCATTTTCCTGAATACCATAGGAAACTGCGTTCTCTTTAACGCTGAAGTGGCATTTTTAGGAGACAAACAAAAACTTTCAGAAACCTGATAAACTTTTCTTTCCTTTTTTTATAACAAAACGTAGAAGAATCAAACGACCTGCAAAAGGGTAGTGCCAAGACGCTAGTGCCACTGCGATTCAGAAGTTCTCCGTGCCCGTTCTCCCGTTCCTCAGACTGAGATGGGCTGTGACTAAGGCTTGCATTATCCAGGCCTGAGATCTGCAGTTGATCACTGCATGTGAAAACTGCACATGACAGAGTGAAAACCCCCTCAGGGTCTAATTCTGAGAAGAAAAAAAAGGGAAGCTTAAGGAAAAGGCATTTGCTCAGCTGACAACATACTGCAGTGTAGTGGTGCTGAGGGAAATGGCTCTTAAACCCTGGGAATTTTTCAGGCTCTACCAGGCACGGTGGACGAGGTATTAGTGTTCACACCTAGGTAGGGTTCGGGCCACGAAGTTGAAATCTGTTGCCCTTTCTTTTGTGGTAGGTAGAGATATCCTATAGGTGTCCTACAGGCTTCCACCAAGCGCTGGGAGGAGAAAATGAGCACTTTGAGTGTTGATTTTCTTAGCAGACAGTTGTTTCATAGTCTCCATTCTGTGTTTGACCTTGTTTATCCATGTAAGGCAATTATAGTTCCAGCTTTGCGCGGTGGAATTAATTCACAAGCTTTAATCTAAACTGGACAAAACTTTCCAAGCTGGCATATAGGAATTATCATTCCAGCTTCCCTGACAGAAAATCAAATTTTAAGGAACAAAATGTTTTTTTTTTCTCTGTAGAAAGATCTATTTAAATGAAAATGATTTTTCTAGCAGAAAATCATTCTAAAAGAAAAATTTTCATCTCCCAGATTGAAAATGTAAATCCTAACCTTGCTCAATAATTAAAAATTATTACTCCATTTTTTCTTACAACATTTATTTATCTCCCTGCTTCCAAAAGTCATCGGGATTTTGAAGACAAACACGAGGTCTGGTGGGCAACTTTTCAGATTGAAAAGATGAATTTTATGGCTAAAAGAACTTGCCTTGCGTGTAAGGTATGCAGCTGTTTAATCAAAGACGGGCTGGCTGAAGCTATTCAGGATTCTTTGCTACTTTACAAATCAAACTTCTGAGTACATGTTAGTTATTCTGATTAAGTCATACTACTGAACTCCCTCCAGGCGCTGCGCTGGAGATGATATTTATACAGCACTAATGGAGAAAACTTGGTGCATTTCGAAAGATAGCTCCCAAGAAAACCAAAGCTGTATTCACCAGATATAGCAGGGAAATTTTCAGTGAACTCTGACTCTCCTTCCTTTTTCTCTCCCCAAGAAAAGTCAGTTCATTGCAAATCAAAATGTTTTGTGTGAGGGGGTCAACTTCAATTTAATTCTCAACCCCCCAAAATTGGAAGGGAAGAAGTTTTGAAAGCTTTAAATGACCCTTTCCAATGTTTGTGCTACTAGTCAAAACATACATATTTAATTCTGGCAACTTTTAGAACAAAAAGACTGACACTGAAGTTTTAAACTGACAGTCAGTAACGGAGCATTTTATCTGTTTCAAATTTGTGAAAATTTTCTTGATTTCAAACTTTTATTTCACTTTGGGACAGAGACACTTTTTGACATTTCAAAACATTTAGTGAATGGGAAACCTTATTCTGCCTGACTCAACAGAAAGTATGCGCTTGCTGTGGCTTTGAATGAGGTTTACAGTTGGTAATAGTAGTGCCTAGAGTCTTCAGCAGGGATCAGAATCCTTTAAGTTATAAAATATATATTTTATGTGTATATATATATATATATATATATAGGCAATGGATGAAAGAAAGGACACACATTTATCTGCATGTTTATGTCTGTCTTAAACTGATCCATCCATCAGTTTATCAGTAAACTTTCCTAATGCTATGATTTGGCGAGCCATCAGAAATAGTAACACTGTAAACAAGAAACTGTGTGTGTACCTTTTTCATACACACACTCATATATATCTGTGCATCAGTATATACTGGCTGACATAACAAATATCTTTGTTTTTGAAAAAAGAGGATTTTCCTTGGGGACTTTAAATAGATTCACAGGATATTCCAAGGTATCAGACTGTATTTCACTGTGATATTCATATTGTCAATAGTGAGAGTTTTCTGTGGAAAATGAGGCTTTTCCTGTAAACATAATAATATTTCTGGATGGCAAAATATACAGTAAATGTTAAACAAGAAAAGAACTAAATTGCAGACTACTCTCTGGTCAGCAAAACCTGCCCATTATTTTTCTGTTTGCTGAATCTGTAGTTTTTACCATTTTTTTAAACTGTGACTTTTCAGATTCATGAGGGTAGCATAGGTAATCTTCATATTTATAAGGCCACACTGTCAACTTGCTTTTCATAATTTATAAACTCTTTTTTTATTATTCCCTTTCCCTGTTGGAAGCCTGAAACTGGCATGTTTCCTTAATAGAGCTGGGAAAAACTCTGCATTTTTGCTCTGGGAGATGATTTCTCAGAAATAAGCTATTTGTGCTTCACGCAAAGGAGTAGTATCCTAGTTGGCTTAGTAGGGCTGGAATTAGTGCTGTAGGGTCTGTTTTGCAAGTGTTTGCATGTGTTAACTTTTCAAGTTTCAACTTGCATTTTAGTTTGGTGACGGATTTGTCAATATGTTACAAGCCTTACATGTCTTTCCAGACATGAGCTAGATGAATGTTCTTTTTTTTTTTTTCGGCTGGACTCATGCATTTACCCGTGCATCCCAGTCGACCTGTCCTTCCTTTTGCTGTCTTCCCAGAGCTGCTTGTATTCCCGTCCCCCACTATTTGCTCCAGGCACAGTGCAAACAGATCCTCCTGCCCTGACATCGAGGGGTTTCAGAGGATGGGCACTCATTCCAAGATGAAATAAAAATAGTTTGATAGCCTTTCCCTCTTCCCCTTTGTAAT